TTGCGCTTGGCTTGTGATTCACCCTGGATCCTAAATAACCTGACCTACATAGTGTAGCTTGTCGTCATACCCATACATGTAGATCTGAGTACGTTGTATATACAGAGTACTGAGCAGAAACCTTACGGTTGCACGGGGAAGGGGGAGGGGTTTCCACCCCGGATTCGCGTATGCTCTCAGGCCAGACAACCTGATTAATATCTTCAAGCCATGTCGAAGCCTTTATTGGCCAGCACCTCATACCACAAAATCATCAAGCAGTTTTGAAGTTGTAGCTCTCTGATCAGGCCCGCTAAGGTGTCTAAATTAGGTCTCAGTGAAGAAAGCCTTCAATCCTTGTATCTACTATAGTGGGTGTTTTACGCATCATTCTTGATGTAGATGGTGCCGGTCTCAGGCTTTCGCCTGCAGCAGACGCAGATCGGGCTCCACGCGCTTTAGCTTAATGGCCTTAGTAGCTTAGGAGGCCATACATGGCAGTGCCTATGTGGTAACTCCGCTGTATTCGGATAGTTATTTGCCGAAAATGACGGGCTCATGGTACCTCTTGTTCGTTCTTGACAGTTTTCTTCAGAGCCGTAACGACAACGCGGTTAGCGTTACGACAGGCAACTAAACATCGCTCGACCATATTGTTATACAGCATGATATCAGCGCCTGGCAGTTGGCCCTTGAACCACAGGTTTGTGACCTCGTCCCGTGTCGGTAGGTAAGCGATGCAGCAAGCCGCATAGATGTTATGGTAATCGGCAACGGCTGGGTCGAGGACGATGGCCGGCGGGCTTTTTGCGTCTTTGGCAACTAGTGCTGCGACGCCACCGGCGACGGTGTCGACGCAGTCGATTCCCGCATCAGCAATTGCAGCCGAGGCCACAGTGATGCAGCCGCTCAGCACATTCATGGTGTCCCAGCCGTCGTCACGCTGATTCTCGGGTGCGTTACGATCTTGGTCACCCTCTATTACCGTAACTATAATATCGACACCGCTCTTGGGCCAGCGGTCTGCGATGATAGCCCCTCGTAGTGCGGTCTCTAGGTGTACACCCAGATCCCTCTCGCTCGAGTCGCGCAAGTAGCCACGCCGCTGTTTCGTAGCAAACGGAGCGTATTTTACGTGTGTTGTGAGGATGATGTGAGGGGAGAAGGGTGCAGATCGCGGGAGAGCTCGCGGGCCGTGAACGGTACATGTTAACTTGAGGCTCGTGTTGCTAAGTCCAGTCGCATTGGGGTTTTCAAGCTCCAGGTAGGCAGACCCTGAGGCAGAGGGTGTCACGCCCGCCTTCAAGACTACGTATGAGAATTTAGCGATTGAAACAGCGAAGAGGACAACCTTGCTGCTGCGGATGGCAACATACAGATTTTGCGAATGGCGTTTTCAGGCTTCTCTGGGCTCTGTCGCGATGGAGGAGGGCTGTCGTAGATCGGAGGTAGGGTGGCGCCTACGGGGCCATTGATTCTTCTCCGGTCGGCCATGGTGGCCCAAATGCTGGTATTTTCTGTGAATATGAATTACATGAATTGGTCGGTAGCTTTTGCGTAACAACTGAAGACAATTGAAGCTACAGGTCTCTACTAGGTACTTGGGTGGCTCGCCATCAAGAAATCGGAGCCCACCCGCCTGCTAACCTTATCGATTGCCCCACTACAGCACCCGACAATACCAGGCTCCACTACTCGCCAGCCTTTTCCCCTTAAATTTGATTTTACAGAATTTTGCATCTTCAACTTTCCACCTTCTACCATCCGTCATTTTGTCCTCTGCCAAGGTACGGTAACAAGCATCCTAGAGCACCACCCAAGCGTCAGAAGCCATGGAAATGGTTGGATGTGCTAGGATATAGCATTAATAGTTGGGTTGTAACAAAGCCTAGATTGGACTTTGCGTATGGTTGTTTGGTTTTGGTCTTGGAAAGCGACGGTAGCAATAGAGGTAAGCAAAAGCTCACGCACACTCTTCGTTTGGCCTCGAGGTTAAACCTCTTTCCCCCTTACTCCCCATCCGCTACTGATGAAATATTTTCCACTGTTCTCGCGATCTCCTGAGCGAACTGAACAAACATGCACTACCATCTGAAGCACCGTATTGCTTTTGCCTTGCTAGAACGAATTTGCTGGACAGACGACTGACCGTGCAACTAGTAACATAGCAAATATGCCAATCACTACATCTTTTGCCATTGCAGTATTTCCTCCATTGGTAAGTCGTCATATTTATTACTATCTTTTGCCCTCTTTGCTTGTTTTCCATGATGAGACCTAAATCATTCAGTTCTGCTTCTGAACAAAATGAAGAAACCCATATACCAAAAATTTACTCTGATCCAACAACTCTTACGAAATTCGCCTAAACACCCTTAGCGATGAGACAAGTAACTAACCATCGCTTAGATCCACTCTGTTACTATAGTAATTTCGTCATATGTTTCGCATGAACACGGGAGTGGTAAGCCATCTTCCATTTGTCTCCATTTTCCCTGTCATGATGAAAACTGTTTATCCATTCAACTATCTCACTATGTGTCGAGCCACCCTCCCGCACCGGAGTTGGCCTTTCTGGGCTGGTGATGACAGGTTGTGGAGTTACTTATTAACTACTTCGGCCTCGCGCTAGAGTTGTTAGGGGTGTTATGCTGTCTTCCGTGTTTTCTATCTCCATGTCTCGTCTTGAGCCGCGGAGGTAGAGAGCCGACACATGTGAATGAGTAAAACGGTTCGCTGAACTAAAGCTATCATACCGCATTTCAATGAAAGCAGGTAGCGTGCCTCCGCTAACATGCTTTACTATCAGATATCGTTGAATATTTCGAATCTTCCAGGAAACTAGGTGTCATCATAGGTAAGGCAATCTTATAAGAGTGATGCTTGATTCCGTGGCCAACGGTAAAGATCATGTAGCTTGCATTATTGGTCGCCTTTATTCCGATGGAAGTGTCCCATTTATTTCGTGTCTATAGAATGAATACAACGGTATATAATATCCCTCCTATGACTTTCTGTGCATAACTCCGGCACCAGCCTGATGGTTGGGGAAGATGAGAGTGTCAGCAACCACAACATTCTCTCTCCTGCCAGCAACGAAGACAACAACCTCGGCAATGTCATCAGGTGTCAAAGGGTCAACGCCCCTAGAGACACTATTAGCAATTAAAAGACAAAATACGCGGGTAAATAGCCGGACTTACGCGTAGACGGCATCGGCCTTGGCTTTATCACCATAGAATCGAACAACCGAGAACTCCTATATCAATATTAGTATACTCTCTTCTAGATGGAATAATCCAAATGTCGTCTCTAGTAGATGAGCTGGGCCAAAAGGTCACTTACCGTCTCGACTTGACCGGGATCGACCTCTAACACCCGGACACGAGAGGCGATGAGCTCCTGGCGCAGAGAGTCGGTGAAGCTGCGCACAGCGGCCTTGGTGGCGCAGTAGATGCTGCCTCCGGCGTAGGGCTCGCGGCCGGCGATGCTACCGATATTGATGATGTCGCCGCTGCCGCCGTTGGGACGACGCAGGTAGATAGGCAGGATCGCCTGCGTCATGTTGATCAACCCCGTTACGTTCGTGCTGAACATGATGTCCACGTCCTCTTCGGCAATGCCCGGCGCCCTAGCTACGCCTTTGACGAGACCGCTGCGCGCGTTTGTTAGCTATTGTTGCTGCTGCTACTCTGCATGTCGTGTTTTGCTTGATGAGCATCTATACCTCTCCTCTAAGGGGTCTCCCGAGGAAATATATAGATAGAAGACAGACCGGAAAATAATAATAATAATAAGTAAGGACTCACGCATTATTCACCAGAACGTCGACCTCCTTGAACTCCTCGGGTAGCTTGTCGACGAAGCCCCGCACCTCGTCCGGCTTGCTGACGTCGAGCTGGACGGGGAGGACCTTGACGGCGTCGCCGACCTCGGCCTGGATGTCGGCGGCGATCTGCTTGAGCGTGTCGATGCGGCGCGCCGTGAGGACGAGCTTGAGGCCCCCCGCCGGCGCGGCCGTCCGCGCGAACTCGAAGGCCGTGCTGCGCCCGATCCCCGACGACGCGCCTGTGATCACCACCGTCTTGCCCGCGAGGCGCTTCGCGACTGCCGACATGGTGCGCGATGCGGTTGCTGGAGTGTAGAAGAAGGGGGTTTGGAAAGGAAGATGAGGATGATGACCGGTTCCTAGCGCTACAGAAGGGCGACGGAGGCTGGAGAGAAGAAGCGTGCGGAGCGTGTGATGGAGCGAGGTTGCGGTGTGGTGGAGGGGCATATAGGACGAATAAAGGAAGAGAGATAGATAGGATGGGTGTTTGCGAATTCTTACAAACCCCTATCTAAACTCTACGACGGAAATAAAATATCGAGCAAATAGGGAAACAAATTGAAATCTCCAACTTTTCTCTCCTATTAGTCAGTATGTTATCTACTTAGAGCGCCGATACTATTGTACATTCGATATCGGAGCTAACTAAGGTGAATGAAATGTGTATGTACGATGTCGCCATTGCGCGGGAAGGTGGGCATCTCCTCAATTGAACCCCGCCAGAGCTTTTCCGCACTCCCTTTGCCCCGCCAAGTTGGGAACAAAACGCCTAATTGCCGGGTCGTTTCGTCGTGAACACAACTCCATATGCAAATGTTTCTGCATAGAATTACAGTCCGTGAGAGCACGCATGGTGATTGCGTAGAATATATAATGGCTTTAACAAGTGCAAGGCTTTTGGTATCATATTATGAGCAGTGCCAGCGCCGTCTTGTGACATCAGAATACCATCCTCCTAGCTCCTCGTTGTCTCCGTTCTCAAACTGCGGCTGGGAGAATTAACATCCCAGTCTCGTCTGGGAATATCTAGAACTCTGGGCTATCTTCAAAAAGAAGAAGCCAAAAAGGTATAGAAGAAGAGTATGCATAGTATTATTGTCAAGTGTGAGTGAGTTTCACTTGAAAGCTTTGTGACAATTGATGTGCTCAATTTGCGCAATCCGTCGAACACCAAGCAAATACGAGTGCCTTCGCTGAGGTAGTGTAGTGGTCAGCACGTGGGATTTTGACGAGAAATCTTCTCAGACATATCAAAGTTCCCGAGTCCCCGGTTCGAACCCGGGCCACAGCTTTTTGCTCTTTTACTCTCTGTATATTTTTCTTTGTATGTGTTACCTGGCAAGGTCGTTTCTCTTTTCCCTAGCCTCCCTCGAAGTATGGCGCCGCTGCTAGAAGCTCTTCAGGAATATTCGTATTATATCTAAGTGGTATCTCGCTAGCTCAACAAGAATATGGGTGACAATGACCTCTAGTGTATCTAGCGTCTGAACCTCCCCTCTCATCATTATAAATACTATACAGAACTACATCAAGTGCGAGTGGTATATCTATTGTGGTGGACCTTTGTTTGGCTGCCTTCTTTCCGTCCCTCCATGCGCCTAGTTGAACATTTCCCGCTAGAAGATCGAGCTGTATGCGGATGAAGACAGCCAAACGAGTGACGCTTCGCGATATTGGGGCCGGCACTGCCATCGAACACTGCTTCGGACATAGGTGTTGTTTGCCCCATCCTCAGAGTCGGATGGCTTAGCCCTCAGGGGTGAGCCATCATGGCCCGGGCCATTTGCATCAAGAATACTCATAGCCATGCCGGGCGCCTCATCATCATGGCATCGAGGTAGTACCATAGCTGTCCCTAAGCATCTTAACCATGTACTGAAGTGACATCATCTGCGGCGTAGTCTTCGCAGAGCCCTTGAGCCGGCAAGGGTCGCGTGCGTTTCTGTGTGTCACCCCTCGAAACAGCGTATGGCTGTCGCGAATAGCAGAACCGGTCCTTATGGCCCGTTGATCCAACTCTTGATGGCAGCTATTGAAATATCGTATTCAAAGGCGACGCTATCCTTTGGGCCTAGAGGGAGGGGTTTATCCCAGGCATGTTTCTCCCCCTCAACTACGCGGACGCTGACCTGCTTCCCGCGCTTTTCGAGCCTCTCAGCGAACAACTTGCCTTCAGCTAGAAGCATGTCGTATTCACAAAGACACAGATGAACTGGAGGTAGACAGTCTATTAGCTCGTCGGGCATGAGTCCCGGCGACAGCCGTACGTCTGTCCGTTCGCGCCGCGGAAGCGCAGGGTGTATATAAGACGCATCGATCAGGTCCGTCAACCCACTAGGTAGTGTCAAATCCGGCCGTTTGCAGGCCATTCGCTTCTGCGGTCGATCTAACGTCCAGTCGAGCGGGGGGTAGTAGAGGACGATTCCGGCAATCTTTGGTAAAGGCGCCGCTATTTCGTAGTTCCATCTTTTAGGGTCATGTAAGACGATCCAACTGCTCATGGCTAGCGTCGCGCCAGCAGAGAAACCAGATAATATTATGCGATCAGTGTCGATGTTATACCGGTCTGCAAGCCTCTGTATCTGGACGATGGCGTCAACGCAGTCTTCGACTGGCGTTGGGAATGGATAGCCCGGGGCGAGACGGTAGTTAACCGAGAAGACCACAGCGCCCAAGGTGCTCACGAGCGCATTAGCCCACCGCGAGTCGTCGGTTCCCTGGCCTAGGATAAACCCGCCGCCATGGAAATTGATTACAACCGGCCTTTTCTCAGGACTAGATCGCTGCGGGATGTTGGGCGGGATCCATACGTTCGCACTAATCGCCTGCTTGCCTTTCCATCCACCTAGAGTGGAATCCAGCAAGATAGTTTCCGTAGGAGCCAGAGTGGGCAGACCTGAACGGTTACCAAGTCTGAATCCGATACCAGCCAAAAATCGCAAGGCGAAAGCGTGGGCGCCTAGGAGCCAACGGGGGCTCTTGTCTGCAGGATTCACGTAGTCTTCCTCGACGGGCGGCGGTCCAATGTCGTGGATGGAGATGACTTCAGCGGTATCGACTTCCGCTGTGCTCTTATTTTCGGGCATTTTCGGTCCGATTTCCTGCACTTTTGTGAATTGAATACTAACGAGAAACTACGCAGATAGTCATTCTAATGGTAGAGATCTCATGGACCTGAACTTAATCTTGGAAATAGGTGATGAGATCGAGTGACAAGCGTGGGGGTTGACAATGACGTCGTATGTCGCGTCTAGGCCCTGGCAGGCCTGCAACCTTGATTAAGCATGTTTATGCATTCGCCTCAAATTCGGTAGCGAATCATATCGCTTTGTCGCAACCGGAACATTGCAACTGATTGACAAATAATCTAATCGAAGTACGCGTAACTCGAAATGGTGTGGCTTATCAAATATACCTATCTAATTACATGAAGATGAAATCAATTGAGATGGCTTTTTTAAAGGTCTTCTTCAACTTGAATCCAACTGGTAATAGTGGGACTTCTCTGACGCGCACTGCTAAATGCGCCACACTATGTTAGAATATTTAAACTGTTCAGATAGATTTGCGTTTTCAATGAGGTAGAACAATGTTAAGCAGCTTAATTATTATATCGCTAGGCTGCATGGTTGTTATCTCTCCATCAAGAATATCGAAACTTTTCACTTTACTAGACATGGATTGTTACTGTTCGACACAGTTTGGCATTATCCTATGGAGTGACGCTATTTGGCTCGTCGTTACATGCCTGCCCATTCTAGACAAAAAGTCCTGACTGGTGGCGCAACCCATCCGCTGCCGAGTTTCGATCGCTCACTCTCTTCACGCGATTCAAGCCGCCCATTGGCAGCATTTTGAACATCAGATCCGTCGACTACAGCGCCACCAAAAAGATATCCCTTCTTGACAGTAGTGGCAAGTCGCCCGCCTCCTACAAGATCCATCATTGTGATTTCCTCATCCCAGCCGAAATGGACACCAGCGAAGTGACTGTGGAAGCGTAGAGGATCGCCGGGATACACATTATAGTCGCAGCCAAAGCGGAGGCCGGGCATCATATAATATCCCTTATCATGTAAGTGTGCAAACAAGGGATAAGACATAGGTACATCTACAGCAACTGAGGATTCTGCTTCTGACTCTGGTGGTGATGGTAAGAGAAAGCTACTAGTAGTTGGCGTGAGTACGTAACCCTCAACATCCTTAGGCAATTTGCTAGAGTCTGGTGTGGGTTCTGGGCCGAAGAGACTAGTGTTCTCATTATCTTCGCCATCGCCGCCTTGGGGAGTGCCAGTGGAGTCTAGTTCCTTTGGCTTCTTCGACGTTTTCTTTTTCGATTTCGCTCGTAATTCGGGCATAAGGCGATTGTTGCTCTCGATCACAGCCATCTGCATCTTCTTACCCTGGTTCTTCAGCGATTGTACGTAAGCCCGTCGCGACGACTCGTCCATCGTCGCCAGGCGAGCTGGATGGAAGGTTGCGTCGTCAACAACGTATGCTATTTTCTTCTCGACCAGAACTTGCGCCTCTTCAGGCATGAGCTCCAAGGGCAGCCCCATGAAAACATTCTGTTGAGGGTTTTGGGGGATAGTCCCCACGAAGACGGAGCAGATATTCTGATTTCTGCGTAGATACATTATGTCGTCTATATCAAAGAGTAAATATCTTCCGGAGAGCTTTGAGATCCTTATGAGAGGGTGGTCACGAGATGGTGCGGAGGCCATTGTTACGTTGGTAGCTGCGCTGCCTGGAAACGAGTTAGTCCATATACTCTCCCAACGCTTGCGATAGTATGACAGAGCAGATAAAAGTACAGTCATAAAACCAGATAAAGATGTTATCAACAGAAATTTCATTCAGTGGATTGACAGATATTGATTGGGTGTAATCATTGTAGAAAAAAAGCAAGGAATATGTTGTTGACTCACCTGTTGTTATGGTTTGCATTTGGTAGAAATCAGCTTGGGATTGGGATTTGGAGAAAAAGTTTTGGAGACGTGTGGTGGAGACCAACCATGATTAGGTAAGGGTTTGGTGTATGTGATATTGCATATTACGTATCATGCGATTATCGCATATGCGAGCCCCTATCCGAGATTCGTTCAAGGTGGAAAAGTAGTCCTAGAAATCCATACTTGGCTTTCCAGCATCTCCAGATTTGGCTTCATTTTCATCGCTGTCAGCCGGTGGGAGATAGAAGGGCTTGATTATCAGTCCCCTCGATCGACTAAGGCTGAAAGATTGATCATCTAGCGCTGAGTGCGACCCGCCTCCTTTTTCATGGAAAATTGGCAGACTGTGAACTTTAATCAAGCCTTGAACTTTCTCATCATCCTTTCCATCACCCTTAGACGATGGTGGCGGTTTATGAATAGTCGTAGATTGCAGTGGTATAAACTCGAGCACACCATCACACAGCAATTCGATCCATCGAGTGAGGCCCGTCGTTCGAGGATAAAGCGAGAGAGGTAGTGTTATCAGAACGGTCAGACTTTTGGGGTACTGCCTTAGCAAAGCCCTCAGGGAGTGTAAAAACTGTAACACTTCCTGAGGTAGAGAAGAAGAGCTTAAGTACATAGTCGGAGACAGGAGATTAGGGACTATGACACGATGGACTGATGATGGCGGGGAATTCGCTAGCTTTGATGACAAGTCTTTAATGAAGAGCTTGAATACAGAAGTCTGTTGACCTCCAGGGCCTGGAATAGTCATGGATTGGTGAAAGCCAACCTGGCCCTTTACGTCGCCGGGAGATAGCCGTTTTGTAAGATCAAATGTATGACAGAAAGGCACAGTAGCGCTAGTATTAGATGCGCCCTGAGCTCGCTGTGCTTCTCTGTCTAGTCGATGTGTATGTTAATTATAGATTGCAAAACGGGAAATTCACTAGAAGTGACATACCTCTTGCTGCCCCTGCTGAACCTAAACTCTCGTATCTCCAGGCGATTTTCATTTTGTCTCCTGAAGATGCCTCGGACTTGCTAGAAGACTTTGAATCAGTGGAAAGCCCGGGAAGCTCTGCTCGCCAATTTTCGTGCAGGCCAAGTACATGGATCTGGTGGCCCTGAACTAAGCCCTCAGCTACATAGTAGCGAAGGAGCATGCCAGCAAAATCCGTAGTTCCATGCTCTCCAATGAGAAGCGAGGTACCGAGAGGTATACCTGAGTGTCCAGCCAATAGGTTGTCCAATGATGCGGTCCCTGAAGAAGTCGTCGGTCTTCCATCTAGAGGCGATGGTCGAACACCAGGGGCAGGTGTGGTGTCAGTCTTCGTTTGTATAGTCTGGGTTG